CACTTGCATATAGTCTGTGACAATGCATTCCACATGCCTTGGGATGATTTATGCCTAACGTTGAGAATCCAAGGCAAAGTAGCCAGAGGTTACTGATAGCGCAGTTAACTTTATTCTTCTCTACGCAGCCATCATTTGGGCTAATGGCTTTGGGATCCGATCATACGCAGTGCAAAGTCTGTGTATAGATGGCCAGCCTTGAGGATGGCAAGGCGTTTCGCACTGTTCGCTGTTGATCACATATGCTGCAGAGTGCTGGCCCCACAGTGTCTTTCAAAGATTTTCCTCTGCCCTCGTACAAAATAAGAGACAGACAGACACAGACACACATAGACAGGCACACATCATGACGTGGAGCTAAAGTGAACACGGAGAATTAGATTTTTATCTAACGCAGTTAATGAATGGGCATGGATGTTACCGAGAGAATCAGCTCCGATTCCGGTTGGATGATAGCTGCTCATGCCCAACGTGTTTCCCGGTGATTGAAGATGCAGAACACGTGTTCTTTCATTGTCCACGCTTCGCAGTGGAAAGGGAGGAACTCCACAGACTCCTCCAAGAGGTAGTGACCCCTGAGACCATCATCACTAGGATGCTGATGACACAAGAGTATGGGAGTGCGGTAGCCACCTATGCCACAAAGGTCCTGAAGACGCTCCGCTCTGAGGAGCAGTTACGAAAAGTGTCCCGTAATATATTAGTGAAGTGCGAAAAGCCCATCCTTCCTTCTCGCAATGCAATGCCTCACGGCGGTTCCGCGAGAAGGAATAGGAGGAAAGGGAGGGGTTTTTAGTGGGTAGGCATAGGCTAGCTATGAATCCCACAAGCTGCAGTTTGCGAGCCCCCCAGTGTCTTTAGAAGAGTTTCCCCTGCCCCCGTAAAAAAAACCAACACGCACACGCACACACACACAGACACACACACACACACACACACACACACTGACACACACACAGACACACACACACACACACACACTCAAAGGCACACACACACACATACACACAAAGGCACACACACTCACACACACAAAGGCACACACAGACACACACACAAAGGCACACACAGACACACACTCACACACACAAAGGCACACACAGACACACACTCACACACACAAAGGCACACACAGACACACACACACACACACACACACACACACACACACACACACACAAAGGCACACACAGACGGTGAAAGTTTGTTTTTTTTTTTTTTTTTTTTTTCTCCCTATACTTGTGTTGTGTCAACGGTCAGCTGGACAACTGGTTCAATTATGTAAATGTCAGAAGTGTATGGGATAGGCGTTGAACCGAAGAATTAAAATTTTTGTGATTTTCTTCGAATAATGTAAACAAATATGTCTGCCCAAGAAATTGTCGTGGATATCGAGAAGACACACTTCTCTATGTAACAGTATTTAGCAAGAACTGAAGAAATGAGTTAAAAGATGACATTATACAGTCTGTGAATTTGTTGCAGTAGTCAATAATTAAGTTAACAGGGAAATTATCGACTACTGAAGAGAAATTATGCAAAATACAGAAAATAAACGAGCAGTATTTGAAGACAAATGATGAAGCCCTTAGTGTAATGCCATCTAGTGTAGAAGGTGTGAACTCCAAGACTGGTTGGATTAAGAAAACAGAGGTTACTAGATCTGCCCTGCGTATAATACAAATGAAAGATGATAAAAAGTTCAAAATAATAATTAGAAGTAAGAATTACAAAACCCCTGAATATTGCAAGGTATTAATTAAGTCAAAAATTAACCCTGTGGAAATGAAAGTGGGAGTAAGTTCATTATGAAATTTAAGGAATGGAAATATTTTAATTGAATCCAGTGCAAAAGTCGAGGCAGGAATATGCCACAGTGTAAATGAAAAATGTGAAGATGAAATCGAAGCATATCTGCCAAAGAAAAGAAAGCCGAAGATAATTATTTTTAACACTTCAGAAGGTGTCTCAGCAAATAACATTGTTAAGACACTAGTTTCACAAAATGAAATTGTTAGAATATGAGAAGCAATTAGAAGCCAAATTTGAGTTTAGAGATTTAAACAAAAACATAGTGTTAGTGGCTATGGCTAGAAAAGCCGTTATTGACAAAAGGTTAAAGATAGGGTGGAGTTTATGTAATTGGTCCGTCGAGGGAGAAGCTGGATTGATTTGACAATGACTAACAACCTCCTTATAAAGTCAATTTCCGAATGGAATATTTGCAATGAGGAGAGTTGCTCTGATCATAGAATTATTTCTCTATCCAAATATTAAAGACAGATTAACACAAACATTACCTAAGACACCAGAATTTACGTCAGTAATAACAGGCCACGAACACACTAAATCGTATCTACACAGATTTTTTATTATAACCAACCAATTTTTCCCTGCGATGAATGTGCTGCTGTGTTGTCATTTATGATTTGATAATGATTATAAGTCATATTACATGGAAACCTCTTATATCATTAAAATATTGTAGTGTAACCCGCCCAGATGAGTTTACTAGCTTGGCCCACCTGAATGCTCAACAAAGAATATGGATGATAACCAGCAGAGAATATGGATGAATATGAAAAGAATCTCAGGAGAAAGTTAATCTAACACATACTCTTACATACACACACCACACTTCACCACATGCGCGCACACACACACACCACACCACATGCACACGAACACACACACACACCACACCACATGCACACACACACACCACACCACATGCACACACACCACACCACATGCACACACACACACCACATGCACACACACACAC